CCCCAAAACCCCAAAACCCCATAAAAGTCAATTGCAAAAAAATATTAGCCTTAAGAAATTAATTAAATTAGTAATCATCAATGCTTTTAATTAAGATAATTCCACATGATTGCAAATTTAAGAGTGGAATTCACTATTGGATGACTATTATCATACTGCTATCATTTCAACATCATTATCTGGCAGGTTACTGTACTTTTCTAGATACTATTCAGCTTCCAATTCATCCATTAGTAAAAGATCTATAGGTCTAAAGAATTGAAGAGAGCATCCAGGCAACGGCTAATCAATATCATCACTAGCAGATATAAAAGACCAAGGCTGACTAGAATTCCATTCAAAATCGACAATTTAACCAACATGCCCAGCATGCTTGAAGAACACGGGATCATTTTTAGCTTATTCTCTCAAATCCCAAATAATCAAAAACTCTGATGAAGAGGCAATATAATGAGGGGAGAATGGAGAAAATCTCACAACGTTAATGGAACTTGTATGACCTTCTAGAACTTTACAAATTGCTGGGCACCTCTCAGTTTGTTCGGAGCTATCACTTGGTAGTTTTCTGATATCAATAATCGCTACTTTCTTATCATTAGAACCAGTGGCGATATAATTAGTATCTGATTTACTCCAATCAACTGTATTTATATCATCATGATGAACCATCAAAGCTTTTTAGACTGGTTTTATATTACCTTTACCACTTACTGATCCAGCTCTTGTATCCCAGAATAAAATATATCTATCGATTCCTACTGATACAAGTTCACATGATGAATCAGGCTTAAAAACAAGATCTTCTATATTTCCAAGATGACCTTTAAGTCTAGCATAAGGCTCCAGACTAGATATACTTTTTCTCTAAGGCTTAGAGTCAGTTAGATATGACTATAAACTTTTTTAAATTCTTGAGACCGAGGATTGATTTTTATATGATTTACCATTCATTCCTTCTTCTCTGTTTCTACTGTCTTTGTTTTCTAGATTTGAGCTATAGTTATTTGCTTAATCTGGAAGCATTTGCTTTGAATTCTGAGCGTTGCTACTGTCTTCATTATCACTCATATAATCCTAATTAGTCTAGTCTTTTTCTTCCTCAGTGATTTTACCCATACTATTGAAGTAATGTTCCACATTCCAAAGTAAGATTTATCTATCTCTTCCTCCACTAGCCACTATAGGCTCTGTACTGCTCCAGTCTAAAGCATATGCTGCTACATCTGTATGGCCACTCAATCTAAATGGAAAAAATAAATTTTTTTTATAATTTTATGATACATTAGATCTGGCTAGTTAGCTTCAATATTTATTCTGTCATGCGCGCTTTTCTGTGAATTGATATCCCACAGATACACATTCTTTGTATCACTGTGAGTGGCTATAATTCTTTTATTTTTAGGCCAGCATTTCAAACAGTTAATCTAATAATCTTCATAAGAGCGTGCTATAGGCATAAACTTACCTCTCCTGGATGCACGAATATTTTTTGTATCTCGATTCTCTAATTAGGGTCATACTTCTTGCCTAAAGTCATACGCTTTCTCTCTTTTTCTAATTTAAATCCTGGCTAAGGAATGTCTAAGTAGCCCATCACCACCAGACTACCTAGACCTTACCAGGCATTAACCTTTTCGTGATATTTTCCATCAGTCCTGCATCCAAAGAATATTTCCTACTGAAGAAACTAGGATGATTGTGCTTTTACTGCACCCTATTTATTGATCAATAATAGAGTAAATGCTTACCCATCGACAACATGATGCAGGCCATTCGAGCTTATGTGGGTAGAAGTAATCATAAAGGAGATTAGCAGTCTAGTCCTTGAAGGTCTCATAGTTTTCAAACAAGCTATAATATAAGTGAAATGACTCAAGAAATTAAATTTACTTTGATGCCATTAAATTAAGGTATATTATTGCAATCTTAACTTATTGTTTCAATTAATTAATAAATTTCCTTAAATAAATCAATTTCATGGTGAAGGGGTTTTGGGGTTTTGGGGTTTTGGGG